CACCTCTCTCTCTCTCTCTCTCTCTCTCTCTATATATATATATATATATATATATATATTCTTTCTGGCATCTAAAATACATAGAAATTCGAGCTACTTACAGGATCTGAATATTCGAGCTACGAAGCAGAAGGCTTGCAACGCACTTTGAAGGTTTGCACAATTTAACACAGATCATCAGTTCGTGGGCATCTATATGTGTTGAGAAATAAATAATATTAATATATTACTTATTACACATATTTAATTGCTAATCTTTGTTGATTTGTAAACACAACAATAAAGTATGTTTATTCTCATTGAAACATATCTAGGGGTTGATTTGTTCAGTAGATCTATGAGTGTTGCAAAAACTATCTTCAGACACAGAATCTAAGTGTTGGGATCCGATCTGGCCTGGTCTGAGACATTCACCGATCTCGCCATCTTCATCAACCCTTCCCCTCTTCTCATACTTGTCTCCCCAAACCCATCTCTCTTCACCTTCACCAACTCCTCGAACTCTGAAGCGATCTGATTCATCTCTTCGTATTTTTCTTGCAACGCAAGTTTCGCATCAACGAGCTTCATTTTCACCCGTTCCTCTCTCCATACTTCCGCCATCTGTAACATCTGTCTCTCTTCTTCGGTTTCATCCCTATACCTGTTCATCTTTCCACTCAATGCTTCGATTCTCCTCATCAGCTCTTTGCATAGCTCTTCGATCGCTTCTCTTTCCTTCTCTCGTCTTTTCAGCAACGATTCTGAATCCGATACCTTCTTCAACAGCATTGAATTCACTGCCTCAGCTCGTCTCCGCTGCTTTCTCTCACGGTTTAACTTGTGCCGCAAGTAATCTACACCGTGTTCGTTGCTGCCCCGTCCTTGTTTTTTCTGTAGGAGCTTAATCTTTTCTTCTGATAAAATCTTGTCGGTCTCGAGCTCTTTGATGCGAAGCTGAGATTTCCATAGCTCGGTTAGAAGATGGGAAGCGACGTTCGTGCTTTGAGGCTCGTCTTCTACGATATTCTCGGTAGCTTCAACGGAGTTATACGTTGACGGCGATCTCAAATCCCACTTTGTCACACTCTCCATCTGCGAGATTGCGATTCAGATTAGGGTTTCCGATGAAATATTCAGTTCTTGAACTGTCATGGGCACTTTCCAGTTTCCAATACATATATGTTCTCAAATCTCAAGCATAAGATTCTTGAATTTAGATTTCTAGTGGCCACCTAACGAGGAAACGATCAGACGGACCTGAAAGCTGGCAAACGAGACTTCTGGTTGGAACGGAGGCTTTCGAAGCCTCGCTGCAAGTTTTCTCGCGGAAACCTGGGATTCCTCGGATTCGGGTTTAGGCGAGGGAAGATCAGATGACAGCGGACGGTGGCTCCGATGGCCGGAATATGCGAATGCGACGGATATGGGTTTCCGGCGATGACGAGAAATAATGCTCATAAGGGAAAGGGGTATGACGAGATTCGGAAATGAGCATTTTTCAGAGGTATATGTATACATATACGCGTTATACATTGAATCTAGCGATAAGGCAGAATCTGAAATCATTTAAAATATTGATTTGTTACCAGATTTCGCATATATTATTTACATGTAAAATATATTATATGGTTTACCACATTATATATCAAAAGAAACCGCTTCTTGTTTTTAGAGTTACATATATCATTTTGGTTTATTTTTATTCACTTCCACACACAACTTAAATATCCAAAAAGTTTGAGTTTGTCTCTCATTGTGATAAAATTAAAAGTTGCAAAATATTTCATTAAACTTCTCTAATAATATAGATTCTTTTATGTTTTGGTTTTCAACTCGACACAAAAATAATATTTTTTAGTGATTTTAAAACTATAATAAAACTTCTAAAATAGAATTACGTTAAGAGAAAATTTAATAAAAATACATCAACTATGCAAAACTTGTCAAAAATATATAAAGAATAAAATAACTACTCTAAAATGTAAAAAATAATCAAAATTTAAAATTTAAAATCCAAATTACTACACACTATTTCGACCTTGTAAAAGTGATTTAACACTTTGGAGATTTCGGTTAGTAGATGCATCATCGCCACATCATACTATATTTTTTATACTTGGAAAACCTGTCATACAACCCTTTGGGTCGGACACCGAAACGTCTCACAGCCCTCCCTAAAAGACCGAACAAATGACACAGTATTGCATATAGTAAACTTCCACGGACCTACGCAACAGTCGGCACACATCATACTAATTTGTTACGTCATTAACAAAGAAAAACCTATATATATTTATATATATCTATTTCTAAAATTTTAAAAAAACAAACACTAAAAATCTAGAAATGTTATAATAAGTACAAACACTAAAAAACTAGAAGTATTGTAATAAGTACAAACCAATAAACTAGTCTTAGCTGGTCCAATAAAAAAAAACATAACTTTAAAATATGAATAAAAATATAAATATTAGACCACGAATCTTTTCTCTAACACAATATCAGAAGAAATTGTGCCGCATAATGATTTGGGTTTATATGACAGGAATCAAACCGAACGGAAAAGAATTGTGGAAAAACGGCTGCTTTCATTAATCGTAATACATCCCAATATATACAAGTAGAGTTTCAACCTAGATCAACTAACTATAGGAAACAAATCTGCTAATCGCAACAACTTCCTAAATCAGAAGATACGCGAATATATATATATGTATATACATTCCGTTATTATAACATCATAAAAATTAAAACAAAATAGCGTGGATATATATATATATATATATATATATATGCGCGCAGGACGGACCAGTCACCAGCTCAATGACTATGGGTCTTCTGTCCCCATTCCTCTAATTTAAAAAATTAATTTCTTTTATATATTATAAAAGAAATTAAAATTTCAGTTTTTTCTTAAAAAATTATAATAAATTTAATATTACCCCGAATATAATATTTTCTAGATCCACATGTGCGTGTGTGTTGTTTTTATTTGTGTTTCATTCATTTTGGGCGGTTTAACCTCACCGCGTTTGCTGCAAACGCTGTTTGACCAGACGCGTCCAAATAATTGCTGCGCGAGTTTGGCATGCGTATTTTATTTTCTTCCCTCCGACGTGGCACTCCAATTTTTCCACCATATTATTTCAAATATATTCATAAATTGTTTTTTATATTCACCCGCACGTCAGTTTTTTATTAACGTCGATTTTTTTAAAAAAAAATTATCTAATTGATTCGATAATTTAGAAAAAAAATTATTTATTTAAAATTTGTAATTTGCTAGATTTTTCGTGATTTTATGATCATTTAAATATTTTTAGAGGATTCTTTTATATTAAATGTGAAATTTTCTCTTAACTCCAAACAAGTTCATATAAAATTATTCGGCTGTTATATAAATAGTAAATATCCTTCTTTTGGAAATTCAACGAAGAAATAAATTTGCTATGATTAATTGTTGCGTCTATAAAAGGTTGTCATTCACAAAAAAAAAAAAACTATTGTAGTTTTTGGGCAACATTTATTTCTTTTTTATTATAACCACTTTATTGTCTCCCTTTATAAAGCAATAATTCCTATTTGGGAAATCATTTGAATATTTAGCATTAATTACACATGCAGCAGAGTGCATATTGGCTAAAAAATCATTCTTTTCTATGACTAACAACTAATTTAAATTAACGCACACAACACAATGGAATAAATAAATATCTTGATAAATAAAATAAATTTTCATAATCTACTCAGTAGATTTTGTAATTCAATTTTCTTATAAATTTGTTTAACGACACATTATTGGTTTTTAAGAATTATATTAATAGACCTTATATATACAAAATCAGATTTATTGTATACGGTTTAGAATTTTGGCAAACAAAATACATTACTTAGTCTAATTCTCATCAATTTCGGTATTTCACAAGAAAAAAAATTGGCGATATTGTAAAATATATTTTTCTAGATAGTAAATAGAATTTGTGTCCTTGTAAACATATCATTCGCAAAACATATACGAGTCCGAGACCAACATGTGTCATGTCACAATTAGTGTACTCTCCCAACTCCCACATTATCCCACATGCCTTAACCATATGCATTGTTCCTCAAAATTTAATGTAGTAATAAATTTTTTGCCCTCCGTTTCAAAGTAGTATATCCTTATATCATTTATATTTTCTCTTATAATTATTTATATTATCATTAATGCAAATGAGAATATCTTCAACACTCTCTCGCCCACATACGATAATATCTTTGTTAGTTTCCGAATTAAAATTAAAAAAATCTCGTTGGAATTTTTAAATTTGTTTTCCCAATGAAATCTAGCTATGTGGGATCGAGTGGGATAAGTTATGGTGTGAAGAGTACAATTAACAGGGGTATTCTCATGACAAATAATAATTATGGGGTCAAAGAAGAAAATATAAATAATATAGGGTGTGTTTGTATAGAATCTCCGATAATCTGTTGCCAGCCTTCTAATTCCGATGAGCAAAAGTTTGGATAATTCACCCATTTTCTTCTTGGACATTATTTTAGTCACGTGCTCAGCCATCCGCGTTTCATGCTTGGAAGCTCCACGTGGATTATAAAAGTCGAAAGGAAAATTGTCTACAACACACGCATTTTATAAAAACTTTATTAATTTTAATATTTTTTTTATAAAATTACATGAAATTTTCAGATATTGTTATAAACTGATATCCGGTCTAACACTATTAAATAGTTAACGAATTTGATGACATGCCATCGCCATAAAGTTTTTTAAAAAAAAATAGAGAGCTTTTCCATGTGTATAGACTATTTGACATGTTTTGTGACTTGTCCACGTTGTCTTGACATGTCACATAATCGGTTAATTATTTAATGGTGTTAGAATAAACATGAGTTTATTGTAATATTCGACAAGTTTATTTTTCTGTATTTTGATTAAAAAAAATTGAAAGTTCTTATACTTATAGTATTTTTAGGTGTTTTTTCTGAAAAATAAAAAAAGTACAAAACGAGAGGATTTATTTTGATAATTATTTCAATAATTTATACATTATTTATATGTCCTAATTTATTATAAAAACCAAGAAAATATATATAAATATAACGTTAGAATTCAGTGATAAACACGACAAGTAAGCAATTGTGTTGTCAAAATCAAGCAATTTGCTTTTTTCAGCTAAAAAAAATTAAACAAACCAGTTTTCTTGAGCTAACAGGACAAATCGAATTTGAGTTCTTAGATTTTATAAAATTTATTTATGATCCATTTTTTTGGGAGCCTTATAATTGTTGTGGTCCAGATGAGTACACAAACACATGCATGTGAAAATTCTATGTGAATATATATTTTTTTTGTAGCGTTCGAAGTACGAAAAATAATATTGTTTTCGTATTTATAATATTCATATAGCTTTACTGAATTCTAGAATAGTTAGTGAGAAAACAGTAAAAATGTCAGTGTTTTATATATCTTTCTTTTTTTAAAAAATTAAATAAATAAATAATCATTTTAATAATAAAATTTAGTCTTTTTTTGGTATGAAATAAAATTTAGTCTTGAATGTAATGAAATATACATTTATATACATACATGCGAAATCATATGTGGCGTATTTATGATTGCCAGATATAATTACATTCATTCAAGATTTACTGACATAAAAAAACCCAATTATTCTGGAAATTATGAGAGCCGATTAGGAAGGAGTTTGAAAAATTATCTTCCAAAAACAAATAAGTGATATTATAGGAAAAAAAAATATATTGTATAAATGTTTTACAGGGAAAACATGGATTATATAAGAAATTAATTTGTTAAATGAAAGATATGATGTTATTTATGTATTATGTATCAGGTGATGCATTTGATCAAAGTCAAAATTATCAAGTAATCATTAATTACTATGTTAGTATTTACTTTACAAAATACATATTTATTTAAATATGAATACTGGAATTTGAATTTTAAAAAACAAAAAATAAAGGTTAAATTATTTAGAAAAATTTGATAAACTCATGTATTAATCTTCTAATTTCTCTATAAATAACCATATGCAAGTGCCAAGAGTATATGCATTCACTTTCGATGTTTTTTT